AATATATTGCCTGCAGGTACAGTACAAGTCCCCCGCGTCCCCCGCGTAATCTACGCCCCTGGTGTGATAATCAATATTACATAGCTTATGTACCAAATTGCAACTTTATCATTCCAAATGAGTAATTACAAATACATTTAAATACATTACATGACAAATTATGTATTTAATATACATGTAAATACATGTCAAGAAATTACATTTAAATTTAGTTTACTCTACATAAATGATTGTCAGTACATTCAGCAGGACATTTAAATCATATTTCAAAGACAATGGAAGTAAATATCAAATTACATATACATATATATATATATATATATACATATATAGGCCTACATATACATATATACATATATATAACTGCATTTAAAATGAATGTAAACTATGATATATTTTCATTTAAATTCAGAAAACATGCAATTAAGTGTCCGATTGCTCTTTCTGTGTTTCCTGAAACCTTTAATCTCTAATTGTTCCATTTGATGCATATTTTTTCATATATATTGATCATATTTTTACCCCAGAGGAAAATGTTATTGCTCAAATGTTAAACTGTCTAAAATTCCTTAAACGAAATGAAATGAGGCATATGTTGTTAGTATAGCGCTACATAATGCATACATAAACTATTAAATAAAAAATTGATAGCATAAATCATAGTTGAATCATTTGGTTTTGGAAGGCTCTGATATGAAATGTTTGAATTCATATTGAGATCTCTTAACTTTTGATTGCAGACTTTGGTATCTTGGCAAATCTGAACACAATTTGTTGAGATCGCTTCTGAAACTCTAGACATTACTGGGGTCATTTCAGAGGAAGAGAAACAGGTGTTAGAATATTAGAAGTGGGATAAAACAAAACAGGTATCCAGTCAAAACAAAGCAGGGAAATAATTGAACATTATTTCATAGGTTCACTCTTAAAAATAAAGTTTTTTTTTTTATTGGCAAGAACCTTTAACATACATGATGGAAACTTTTCATTGCACAAAAGGTTCTATAGAAGAAAAAGCTTCTTTAGATTATTAACATGTTCTTCACACTATGAAAAAAAATGTTTCTTTTAAGAACTGTTCACAAAAGGGTCCACAAAAATGGTTATTCTAAAAACACCCTTTTGGGACCTTTATGTTTTACAGTGTATATTACCTTAATTTTGATTAAAAGAAAATAACTATTAAAGCTTTGCTCATAATATCTGTTTATCTGATCACTTATAGCTCTCCTGGATCTCAAATTGTCCATGCTTGCTTCTTATTTATGAGCAAGCCTGTAATTCCTTGACCTGCAGACATCCCATTTACTCAGACTGATCTAAATGCAAATATTTACTTCCCCAACCTTGTGTACATGTATGCACATAGACACAAATGTGCAAAAACGTCCACACATTATTTCCAGACTTAAACATTCACTCACTCTCTTTTTTTTTGCTACAGCTAGCTGCTATATTTGGTGTGTCGTCGCACCTGCAAGAGCGAGAGCATTCAGAGATCAGCTTCAGCATGACATCACAGGAAGTGGGAGGAAGGGAGAAGGTCACAAGGTCATTTGGGATAACAAACATGTCACTATAGCAAGCATTCGACAGCAGATCCGTAACGCAGCATAGTGACTCGTCTGTCCCACAGGCCCTCAGTGGGAAACACTTAATTTCATCTTCTTCTATAGTCTAGAAAAGACACATCTGTGTTCTCAGTGCCGGTGTCTGTTCAAATGTTTTGTATTAAATGTATTCAAATAGAGCAGTCTGAGACCCCAAACCATTAAATCAGTGCATGAATGTTCTGGAAAGTCTCCAGTGTGGATTTTATAAAATCTTAATTCATTCATCGTCCATCATACTGGGAGTGAAGAAACCCCACAGCAGCCCCAGGGCTTACAAAGACATATTATGCTTGAAAATTTTAAGTTTGATTTGAATATTCATCAGTTCTGCAAACAGCTTTGGCTGGTTGATATGAAATACTTTTGGGAAACTGAAATGACCTGCGGCGTGACATTTATATACTCCCTTTAAAATTACTTTTTTGATGATTTGAGTTTTATGCATGCAGTTTTTATGATCTCATATTAAATGAGAAACTTGGGAATCGAATGTTCATTCTTTTAATTCATTTGTCACAACACAGAATTAATCAAAATAGTAGTGAAGACAAAAAGGTTATTAAAATGGTGAAAAATGTTTTAAAAAGTAACTACAATTTTCTAAATCTTGATGTTAATTAATAAAAATAAAAGCTCATGAATATGTGTCATATACCCTTGTACCAATGTAGAGTAAAAGGACTTTTAGTCAATCAATTTACAATCAATTGATTGATTGACTGATTCATTCATTCATTCATTTAGTTAACAGGTACAAGCGACTTACAAATAGGGCTTGGTAATTTAGCAAAAAATAAAAAATAAATAAATAAATAAAATAAAAATAAAAAAGTGATTTCATTTATTTATTTAGTTAATTAGTTAGCTAGCTAGTAATTCGTTAGTTAGTTTGTTAGTCTGTTTGATATTGCGTATATATATATATATATATATATATATATATATAGTTGTATATATCTTGATAGTTTATTTGCTCTGCAATGGCTTTAAAGGGTGATTTTTTTAACCCATGCCAATCGGGGGAACAAAAATATGATTAAGTACTATAAGTATAAGTACAGTACAATCTAGTTAAAGTAATCATGGCATATTTTCATTTATATGCATCAATACAGTAGTGAAGTCATTAAAAGCAATATTTAGTCACACATTCTTCACTAAAATATTTTATTCTTATTCTTTATATTAAATTAAAAGAGTTTTTCTAAATGTTTTTGAGTGACTTTCACTCAAGGAGCAGGTGCTAAACTGGCTTATAGGCACTTTATTGTCTTTAAGAAAGTCTGTGGCCAAATAAGAAATTAATACTTTTTATTCGGCAAGGATGCATTAGATTAGTCAAAAATGACAGTATAATGTTATATAATGTTACAAAAGATTTCTATTTCAAATAAATGCTGCTCCTTTGAACTTTTTATTCATCAAAGAATCCTTGGAAAAAAATGGTTTTCACAAACATATGAAGCAGCACAACTGGTTTCAACATTGCAAATCAGCATATTAGAATGATTTCTGAAGGATCATGTGACACTGAAGGCTGGAGTAATGATGCTGAAAATTCAGCTTTGACATCACAGAAATAAATTATACTTATTTTAAATGGTTAAAACAATTTACATTTTTATAGAATTTCACAATATTACTGTTTTTACTGTATTTTGCTCAAATAAAGGCAGCCTTGATGAGAATAAGGGACTTCTTACAAATAAATTTAAAAAAGTTAACGCCCCAAACTTTTGAATATTAATGTTCATGTATTCTGCTCACAAACGAACAGTTTTGTCTCATAAAATCTGCTTTCCCTGAAAATGTATGTGGTTTCTAGTGAATATGTGAGAATATCAGCTATTGCAATCAACTGAACCTTGACACTGGCACTTTTGGTTTGGGAGTGTGAATTTTGCGTGTGCGTGTGAGTGCGCTTGCAAGCAGGTGTTTTTTTTGTTTGTTTTTTTTTGCATTGGTGCATCCTGTGTAAAACCTGTGTTGACTGCACTAGCATGATACGGCTTGCCTCTAACCCAACTCCCACACACATCCTCACTGTCTCTCTCTGTCTTTACTCTCATAGCATGTACAAATCTCTCCACTCATCCCCACATCCTCCCTCCATTTCCTGCTTTAATCTGGTTTTGATGGAACAGCCGTTATGCTGTCATTAGCTGCTGAGAGGAGAACTGGGCCTAATATCAGTCATTTCAGCCTCGGCACAAGCCTCACAGGGCTCATGTTAACATCGAGACTGTGATGTTTCCTCTGCTGGTGCCACATACTCAGCATTTATTCGGCTAATCTTGACCATGTGTGCTTGTTTATTTCCATTAAGATAAGTAAGACTTTCACAGGTGGTGTGCAAACCTAATGAATGGGGAAATCACACACAAATTTAATCAATATAGTATGCACATGAATGTCTTTTTTTAGGGGACAATAGCTTTGAATACATATATATATATACACACACACACACACATATACAGTATATATATATTACAGAATTATATCAGAATTTGACACCATGTGACAGCTTGTGCATTTTTTGTTTTATTTGTTGTTGTTGTGTGGAAAAAAGCAGCTTTGACATTTTGATAATATATTCTTTGATAATATATTCTTATGTTCCACTGGAAAAAGTCAAACGGTTTTGAGGTTCACTTGAGGGTGGTAAAATGATGACTGAATCTTTAGAGAAAAAACATTTTTAGACAAAAACTTTACAAACAAATGGTCGCAATTATCATTATTATTTATAATGATTTTTATTTTATTTTATTTTTTCTGGCATGTGGCAAAATCCACATTGCTCAATGGGCATGTGAAATATTGTAACATTAATCAGATTATCTATCATCATATATTAAACACTGACATGTTAGCCAAAACGAATGTTTTTCTTAATTATCTATTTAGTAATAAACTAATAAAACATATTTATGTACAATTTGACATATATACAACTTTATCAATTACTTTACAATTACGAGGAGTTTAGTAATTTATATGATGTGTAAACAAAAGTCATTTTCTTTTTAAAATCAGAAACTTTTTTTATTCTTATTTAAAAAAGTTTTGCACTTTTGCTCTTTATTTTGAAATGTGTCATTCTAGTACTGCTAATATTGTTGTATTCTTTGTGATAAATTGCCTGTTTTTCCTTATTTGTAAGCTTTGAATAAGCTTCTGGCAAATGATTGTTAGAGAATTTAATGCATATTACTGTTTAAAAGAGTCACTTTTGCATAGAATGTGTTTACTATAGAATTTATGCATTAACTTGACTTTTAAAAGATAGCATTAAGTGCATTAAGTACAGAGGCCAGTCAAGATTATTAAATATGTTCTTTTGCTCTGTTGCTAAAACTCATTTTTGTATGATGGTCCTTGCAGATAGACTTGGAGCCAGAGGGAAAGGTTTATGTCATTATCAACTTGTCTGGATCATCCAGTGAAGGTAAGACATCCTTGTAAACTTTCTGTGATTGCATTACATGTCATTTAAAGACTGCATGAATCATGTCCCTGTGTAACCATTTTACCCAATATAAGATTTCTCAGAAATACAGACGTCCTGTGCCGCCTGATACAGTAAATACACGGTTAATGTTTAATATAAAAAAGTATAAGTGAAGAGTGGCCAAAATGGTGTCTCATACTCAGAATTTGTGCTCTGTATTCAACCCATCCAAGTGCACACACACACACACACACACCCGGAGCAGTGGGCAGCCATATTGCTGTGGCACCCAGGGAGCAGTTGGGGGTTCAGTGCCTTGCTCAAGGGTCTCACTTCAGTTGTGGTATTGAGGGTGGAAGAGAGCACTGGTTATACACTCCCCCCACCTACAATTCCTGCCGGACCTGAGACTCGAACCCGCAACCTTCAGGTTACAATTCCAACTCTCTAACCATTATGCCTTGACTGCCCACATATAAGTGTTCAGTGATGGCACTGAATGTGGCATCAGGCCTTCGAGATACATTTATTTGAAATAAAATGAACACAACGAACACTTAAAGCTGAAAATACCATAGTTCTGCTACCATACGCCACTGCTTGAAATGCAGACAGACTTATCAAGTCTGTGCAGCTGCTCTTTTTGGAAGTCATATGAAGATTTGCAACTTACTGATCTTGATGTTGCCTCCAATGTGGCTGTAAATAGAAAAAAAAAAAAAACTCACTGTGGTGCATGGTCATTGGACCCAGATCCTGCGTGGCCTAATTCCACCCAGATAACCTCCCAGATGTTCCTCTTTCATTGACACTCCCTACGGCCCAACTCCCATCAGACCCCTGCCTTTCCTGGATGCACATCAGAGATGGCCCAGTTCAGGAGCTCCTTCATCCTCTTGGCTCCATTCCTGCTCCTGGAGGCAGAACATATGATCGCTTGTCTCTCATGCTGATCTAGATGCTGCATAGCAAACACCTTGTTTCTACACAGACCTTGTGTCTACACCATCAGTGGTGGAATGGCGCCATTTGCAAAATTGTTATCCAGGAATTTCTCAAGGAGTATTTCCTCGAAAAATGGCAAGCAATGGTCATACACTGGGATGGCATAGGTTGGGTTTTGGTCGGTGATCCCCGAGATGAGATGCCACCAAGCATCTTAGCTTAGCCTGAGGAGCTGTAATAATAAACCTGGAGAGAACTATCCGTGAGCATTCCCATTCAATGGCAGTAGAGTTAAGGCTGCACTGTGCCTGCTCAAAATTCAGTGTCAAGCCACAAGGCCGCATCAAAGCCAGAATAAATTATGCCTGCTCAGACCCACGTCCCCAGCTAACAGGGAATGTTCTCACAACTTTCACCAACATTTTTTAAAAAGTTATATAAATGTTAGTACAAAACGTTCTTAAAGTAACATTCTTATAACTTTATAGCTATAACTTTAACGTTCTTATAACATTAATATTTGACATACTTTCTCATAATGCAGAGAGAAAAAGTTCTGAAATGAACATTCTCTGAATCTTATTTGTACTTATTACACGGCTCTGTGGAATACTTGATTCTGATTGGTCAGTTGCGACATTCCTAGGTATGTTATCCCTCGATAACAACCGGCAAAAACTAATAACACAGGCTCATCCGGGTAACTGAAGTCGGAGCTATACTCTTGCCAGGAACAATTTTTTCTTGGTGGAAGCTTTGCGTTTGTTTAGCTAATAAAATATTAAAACTCGATTCAAAATTGTTTACAGTTATTTAATTATGTCATCCTGGTATCGTGGACTCACTCTCTCGTTTCATACAAACGCAGCTGCTGCCATTTTGCTACGATTGTTTTGTACGCTTTAATGGATTATAAGATAACTAACAAACTGGTACAATTTTTAATCTTTTATCACCATAATTATTTATGTGGTGAAATGTTGTGTAAAAAGTGGTTTGACTGCACCGTATCCCTTAAATGTCCGTCTAGTTTGAACTTGCCGCTTAAAAAACATTATATTTTGGTTAAAAATAAAGTTAGTAGAATGTTGTAAGAAACCTGGACATTTCAACATTTTAGAAACATTTCAAAACAATATTCCCACAATGTTTTTATAACCTAAATACATTACCTTGGTCAGCCCCTAGTATTAAAGTATCCAGTTGCAATAGCAAAATAAATGCATTTTAGCCACCTCGGAGCAGTATTAAACAGTCTGTTAAAAGACACCTACATGCCAGTTTAGAAGCACTTCTGTGCCACTTTTGCAGTGTAAATTTGGTAATGGTTAAATTAAACAGTTCTGTACCAATACCAGTGAAAATCCACGGTTCTCTGTACCAATTTCGGTACCAAAGCAAAACACAAAAACATGCTAAAAAATTTGACTATACATTCATTTAATCCAAACTGTGTACATATTTAATTTTAAAGGGCTTTTAAAGCCTTCTAGAGTTATTCAGCCAAGAATAACAACTAACTAAGTTAGCTAAAAAAAAAAAAGCTTTTCTGACTGATATGACACAAACAATGTTAACCATTTGTACATTCTCTAACATGCATATTTTAGATCACACAATTCACAATTCACAGATTCACTGGTGTGTAAAAATAGTAAATATCATCATGTCCTCCTGTTTTTTTTTACCCTAATAAAAGTTATAGGAGCATTAAATAGTTAATAAAGAAACTTCATTCTAATGCTCATTATATTAGCGTTAGCCGC